TCTTTTTCAATAAATGTTATAGACTTATGACAGGCAAGATCAGCAAGCATATTCCTATATCATTTTAAAATCCAAGGTCAAATGAAACTATATTTTAATTTCTGATACATGAATAGGTTTGCTCAGAAAGAAGATGAAAGTTTTCTTTATATTTTCTAAACTATTCTTATGAGATGAATGAGCATCCATTTACGAAGGAAAAACGGTTCCTCTATCAAATCTTAAACTTTAAAAAAAAAATGTATTGTCAAGCCAGGCGCTGGTGGCTCATGCCTATAATCCTAACTACTCAGGAGGCTGAGATCTGAGATCTAGCCATCCCTAGAAGAAAAGTCCCCATGAGACTCTTATCACCAATAAACTTACTCTAAAACTGGAAGTGGCGCTATCACTCAAGCCTTGAGCACAAAGAGGCTCAGGGATAGTACCCAGGACCAGAGTTCAAGTCCCAGAACTGTCAAAAAAATAAAAATCAAACAAAAAATGTACTGGTAATAATTATGGTTTTCTTTCCTCTCAAGTTTTTAAACTAGTTTGGACTAGATATGTCATTAGTTTTCATTATTAATATAAATGGGGGCTAGAGCACTGCTGAATTGGTAGAATGTTTGTATAGCAAGCATAGGCCTTGCGTTCAATTCCCAGTACTAAAAATAAAGAGAAAGGAGGAAAGAAAAAGAAGGAAGGGTGGGAGGGAGGGAAAACACAAATTTATCTTAATGATCCAAAGAGATATTTTTCCCAAAGCATGTGATATAAAATTCCCATTAAATTATTTGATAGAGCATATAGTCTGAAATGAAGACAAATAATAGATTAAGAAAATCTTTAGCTATAGTCGCTCAACAGATAAGAAAAAAACCTGAAAATGCAGCAATTACCTCTTTACAGCTTTTAACAAAATCAAAAGCTTGATTTTGTCGATGAAATAGCTTCCAAATGGAAGGTGGTTCTTCTGGCTTGGACAGTCTTGGTCTATAGACTGAGGACAATGGTTTCCTCTCATATTGAGATGCTAGTTCTTCAATTTGCTTCAGTTTTGCTTCCCATTTTCCCATCATTGGTTCAGAAGTATAGAGAGCACAAATCTAGCATCATATATGCTTTCTATAAACAAAAAGGCCATACATTTCTCTTGTAAATATTAACATGTTTTATCTGATAAATTTCAAACTTCATTTCTTTGAAATATATATGTATATATATATATATATATATATACATCTATATATATCAAGAAATAAGAAATAAATGTTTTCTTTACATTTTGCTCTTTGCCTCAAGTTTTGCCACAGAACAGGGAGAGGATGGCTATCAGATCTTAGACCCTAGCTCTTTCACCTAATAGTGTTAAATCATGCAAAGTTAATGAAGCTCCTTGAATCTTGCTTTAATCAACTGCAAAATAATTATCTTGAAAACTTTATACAGTACCCCGAGGATAAATGTGATGAGATATGAAAATGTCTTGTAAACTATAAAGCCTCATTAGATGTAAGTGCCTTCTGAATCATTTCTGAAATTATGCTTTTATGAAAACATCTCTCTCTCCTACCCTACACTTTATGCCAGTAGCAGGGCTTGAACTCAGGGCTTCACACTCTTGCTTTGCCTTTTTGCTCGAGGCTGGCACTCTACTCCTTGAGCCACACCTCCACTTCCTCTCCTCTTTATTCTCAACACAATTTTTAGTAAGGAAGGTAACTCCTTAAAGAATAACTTCACTTTAATGTCATTACAAGCTTTTCTTTTGTTATTTTTCCAGCAAGAGATGCTATTTAAGCTCCCTTTCATATCAGCTCTGGCCCTGGTCATGTGATTTGCTTGGGTCAATCACACTGACAAATATAAAATAAGCAAAGGTTTAATAGGTGTTTTGTGTCAGATTCACCTATTGTGGGGTTCTGTCCTGAGACTGCTATGTTACAACTTCAGTCTTACAGAGGATGGAAGGTCACATAGACAAGAACCAAGGCATCCCTGCCAACAGCTGGTACCAGCTGTCAGACACATTAAGCCATTCCACAGCCAGCATCTGAATCTGATACATGAGTAAGCCTCAGGGAGTCTGTCCTCAGGCACAGACCTACAGAACTGCCCAGCCAACCCACAGAATTATTAAGAAGAAAACAAATTCATTGAGTCTTTTAAAACAGTAAATTTGGGGCTAGTTTTTACACAGAAACAGATAACTGATTACTGTTTCTCTCCTCATTAATGTAATCTGTTTCATAAGATACCCTGCTGAAAACAGATGTATTACTTTTTAAGTGAAATGACTATTTACTAAACCATTTGAGAGTAAATTCCTTTTATTTATGCATTTCTCTTGAAGTTTATCAGAAAATTTTGGAGCAAGCAAATTCTTTGGCTAATGATGTATTCCCTGAAAGGAAAAAACACTAGGAGAAGGTAAAAATATTATCATTAAAATACTAGGAGAAAGTAAGAATATTATCACTTTTTAGGGGAAAGAAGACATATTACTATGGTTTCAAATTAACATCAACTGTAACAGATTTAAGATTATTTTCTCAGAATGTTTTTATGCTTAATTCACGTGAAAATCACAAATTATAAAACAAGAAACAAACATAATTCTAGGAATATCAATATAAAGTTTCATAACAGATAGGCTTTGGAAAAGAATATCATGTCATTAGATTGAGGAAATAGGGCAGTTTTTAAAATGGATTTGTTGATTCAAAATGCTAGGATTCCTTATTGCTAGAAAGATTCTGAATATTGAGCTAAATTTGCTTCACAGATTAAAAATTCATTGTATATAAACCTAATTGAGAAACTGACTTCATTATATTAAGTTGATTGATTTCCAACACATCCCCAGACTAGTGAATAAAATAAACAGTGCAATCACACGTAAATCACAATGTTTAACCAATAACGGTATAGGAATGGTCACATTGACATTGACACATAGTGACACCAAAACCATCTGAATATTCACTAGCATGAGAAAACCATGAGAAACTGGGTTAGTAGAGGGGAAGCACAATACCTGTCATGACTGTGGGTTCTTTGCAAAGATTGAAAATTTTAACAACTGGGAGAGGGTCAGAAAACTGGGACTTTATCTGACAAAAAAAAAAAAGAAAGAAATGGAGACAAGGACAGCAGGTGGCATTCTAGTTTGGGACTATCATATTCCTTATTCCTACCATCTGGGAGGTCATCATATTAGAAATGCTTTTAATTCTTGGAGGGAAAAGAGTTCTGTTGTTCTTTTATATGATTATACATTAAAGCTTCTTTTCACTATTTTTGGTAATAGCTTCCATGTTCTAACGGAAAAATACTTGTATTTTAAAAGAGTAGGCTTAAAGAGCTCTGTGGTTTATTTTTTAACACAGAATGTTATTTAGCCATATTTTACACCATTTTACAACTAAAGGTGGTCGAGTTACAAAAAAAGGCCAGGGTTATTCTTTCACATTAAGGAGTAAAAGAGGAAACAAGGCTAGAAGTGGAGATGACTTAGATCTATGTAGCATGTCTCATCTGGGTTTATGCCCAGACTTAGCCAGCTAGGACTGTGGGTGTCCAGCAACTTGGAGCAGCTGGATTCAGGGGGCCTAGGCTTCATTTTTCCAATGTCAACTTTTCCCTCTACCCTGAGGTTAGATCCACCAGTATTACATATTTCCTAACAATTATCAAGTTCTAATATTGACTAATGTTCTGGTATTTAACATTTTCTTAGCATTAGTTTTTTCATGACTTCTTGTAATGAATTTATGCTATTTCTCCTACTGACTTAAGTATCCATATTAAAATGAGATAAAAATTCACTTAAAAATTACTATATGCTTACTCCCTGGATAAATAACAACTTAAGAAATTAAACATAAACTGACTGAATTTCTCCCCTCCCTACTTCAGTCCTTTGGCCTATCATTGTTTTCTGTTGTTTATTTTTTGTTTTATCATTTTGCCTAGCTACTCAGGAGGCTGAGATCTGAGGATAGCAATTCAAAGCCAGCTCAGGCAAGGAAATTCCTGAGACTCTTACCTCCAATTAAGCACTCAGAAAACTGAAAGTGGCGCTGTGGCTCAAGTGGTAGAGTGCTTGCCTTGAGATGAAGAGCTGAGGGACAGCGCCCAGGCCCAGAGTCCAAGTCCCATGACCGACAAAAAAGAAAAAGAAAGAAAGAAAAGAAATGGGCGAAGCTTTATTTCTGGGATCCATGTTTCTCCTTTAGAAACAAACCACCTAATCTCTTTAAGAGCTGGAATTCCTACCTTAAAAGGGTTGTTGAAAGGACAAAAACAAGACAATCTTATGAAAATATAAAAGCACAGTCACCACTCAACAGACCTAAGTATTAGCATGTATATTCATCTATGCAGAATATAGCCTGGTAGCTCTGCATTAGGTGGGTGATTTATTGAAAGAACGTTATAAACTCTTCAGATGTGATGCAGAATTTTATGCTCGTGCATGTGGTATCTTCTTCCACGATAATTCATCACAGTGTGCATCAAGGTCTGGAAAGGGCGTATGACCCCGAATCGTCCCGGAACCAGTAGAGAAATTAAGAGTTTTATACACACACCACACACACAACAACCTGAGGAAAGGCCTCTGGTCATTTGAGAGGAAAAAGGGATTACCTGAGGGTCCAGGCCTGTCTCCTTCCTCCCCTCGAGCTCAGGCAGCCGGCCTGGGTTTTGAGCGTCTTCCTAAATATGCCCACAGAATTCAGCATCAGAAAAGGCTGGAGATCCTCAGCAAATGGCGGGATCCGGGCTTCAAAACTGGCGCGGGGGCGGGACCAACGTGGGGCGGGGCTACCGCAACCGGAAGGCGAGCTCCACGCAGAGCCCGGAGGGGCGTGACGTTCTCCAGGAGGCGGGGCCGGAACGGGGCGGGGCTGAGGAGACGACGCGACCTAGGAGAGTGAGAAGGGAAGAGGGACCAGAAAAGAGGGCGTGGCTGGCAGGAGGGGGCGTGGCCTCTGGAGGAGGCCTACTTAGCCACTCACCTCAACCAGCTGCTGCCTTGTTAAAGCCTAGCTGGTAGCAGCAAGTTGCCTACGGCGAGCGAGCCCGTGTTTGCAGTTCGGTGGATCAGTGCGATCTGAGTGGTGAGTGCGACCCTCACTCCTCTGGCCCCCTCCGCGGGCTCCCTAGGCCGGCTCCCTCATCCTCTCAAGGTTTTGCAGCTGCCTGGTGGAAGCCGAGGAGACAGGCCCTCTGGGCGGCGGATCCTTTGTTTTGCTTCAGTGTTCTGCGGGGCGAGCCGTGAAGGCAGCGGCGTGACGCTCCAGCCGGGGAGCGTGGTCTGGGGCTGAGGAACCGGGAGACCCGGGCAGGTGGGCAGCGCGGTGAGTGCCGCCCGCGGAGCCTGGAGAGCGGGGCTGGACTGTAGATCTCGGCGTCTGGGTGCCGGACGGAGGAACAGGGTACAGGGCCTGGGTTCCCGCGGGCCAGGCCTCGGATCCAGAGACCACCTAGGGGTGCAGCGGTGGATAGGCCAGAGCCACCGAGCCCAGGAAGCTGGTGGCAGCCCGGTGCACGCTGAGACAAACCGGCTGCAGGCCGAGGCGTGGATCGGAAAGGGAGGAGTGAGGGAAAAGGCTCAGGGAAACATGGCCCCAGGGCGAGAGGCCTCCCGTTATTGCAGGAAGGTTTCGTCTGGTGCCTTCTAGGTGTCTGGGGCCTGGATTTTTCGAGGATCGATTGTGTTGTAGTTCCTTCAAGATGCTCATTGGAAGCACTTTGAAGTCGTGAATCCTTCTCATTGTTCTGTTGGGTCAAAGTCAATGTAGGATCTGCCTTGGCATCTCAGACCATGTTGGATTAGAGGGCCTTTCTAGTCACTCTTGTTCTTAGTGGGTCTACTCTCAAGTCTAACTTGAACATCTGGGACTTTACCCCATTCTTAGTAAGCGTCACCCAGAATCCAACGGTCCCTCACCGCTACCCCTCCCCTACCCCATTTTTTCCACAATGAGTCACAAGACCTTTGCAGACCTCCTGCTAGATGTGTGCATGTCTGTCCATCTCTGGTTTCTGCCAATTTGTGCTCTCTAAGTGCATCAGCTTCCTGGCTGGGCTCTCTTAACTTACACCTCTCTAGGCTATTCTTTAAATGTGAAACTATAGAATAGACCCTATCCCTTAACCTAGTTAACAAGGCCAGATGTTTATTGGGTCCTGAATAACCTCCTCTGTCTTATCCTTTACCTTAGTGTCCTTTCAGTTTCTGAATAGATATGTGCTTACCTTCTTACCTATTCTCTGCTTAGATTACTTTTTTTTTGGGGGGGGGGGGTCCGGTCGTGGGGCCTGAACTCTCGGCCTGGGCCCTGTCCCTCAGCTCTTCAGCTCAAGGCTAGCGCTCTACCACTTGAGCCACAGCGCCACTTCCGGCTTTTTTCTTTTTGCTTATGTGGTGCTGGGGAATCGAACCCAGGGCCTCATGCATGCAAGGCAAGCGCTCTATCACTGAGCCACCTTCCCAGCCCCTGCTTAGATTACTTTTGCATTCTCTTTCTCCCTATAGAATTGACTTACAAGTAGGAACAAGTTAGGAGTCTGTTCTCATTTAACAGCTCCAAGGTTAAGTAAGTCTTCCTATCCTTTTGCACCAGACATTTCCTAACAGGAATGTGCCACATCTTTCATATTTGCATATTTACTATCTTTCCTACTATGCTGTAAGCAAATACCAAGAGAGACTAGTTTATTTATCATGGTGTAACTTATTGACCCATTTCCTTATAATTAGATCCTGGCACACATGAGTGCTTGTCCACTGGTTTTTATTACAGTAACATGTTTTCTAATGACTATTCCCTATCTAAAAAAAAAGTCAAATTTTATCCTGGCTACAGTATCTCAACGCTGTAAACTAGCTACTCAGGCTGAGATCTAAGGATCACTGAAGCCAGCCTAGAAAGGAAAAATCATAAGACTCTTAACCACCAAAAAGCTGGAAGTGGAGCTGTGGATCAAGTGGTAGAGTTCCAACCTTGAGCAAAAAAAGCTAAGGGACATGGTCCAGAACCTATGTTCTGCACGCATACGCGCGCGCGCACACACACACAAAGTTGATTTACGTTACATAGTAATTTAGAATTAATACATGTGGATTAAAAAATGCTAGCAATCAAATATGGGAACATTGTAATAGTTACAGTGCTCATGGCAGCTACCAGAGATGCTAAGCAAGCTGGTTAGATAAGTAAGTATCAGAATGTGCTTAGCCACTTTGTGCTATTGTCACCACATAAATATAAGCTTGGCTTCAATTGGGAAAAGTAAAAAGATCAAACTCTTGCACAAAGTATCATGTCTTTTTCTGATTTGTAGCACAAAGTCAGATGCTCTGCATGCTTATGCATCTTCCTGGTTCTGTAGACCATGCCAGAGAAAAGGCTAGTTTTATTTGTTCCTATATTACAGTTGAACTTAGCTTATTCTGTGTTTAATTTTCCTTTCCAGTTTGAGTGTTTTCCTTTAAGTTGCATTTTAAGTCTTGAAAGACTGACTTTACCAAGCCCAGTAATAGCTAGTTCAGTGATTATTTATTATGGCAATGAAATTTTATTCCCTTTTTCTATTAGCATACATTAGCTATGCAAGGGGAGATTTCATTGTGACATTTCCCTGAATGTGTACAACTTACTCCAACCAATCTGAATGGTCTATCACTTGGCCTTATTACTCTCTTCCCCACTTCCTAATAAAGTTTCATTAGGTTTCACTCTCATCTATGTCAACAATCTATTTCAGCCACAGTTATCCTCCTTCACCCTTGTTAGCCCAATGCTCTCTCACTAGTGCTCTCTCTCTCTTTTCTCTTCCCCCAACCCCTACCAATCATCACATTTCATTGAGGTTCTTTATACTGTTTTTTATGTACAATTACAGTGAATCTCAAAATTATATATGTATAGATATGTATATGTATACATATATGTACATTTATTTTTCCCCTAAGCCCTCTACTTCCTAAGTAGTCCCTTAGACATATATTCTATGTTTATCCATGTATATAGTTATGTATACAGGTATATATGTATTCTATGTACATATGTATATGTATGTCTGCCCATGGAGAGATATATATGGGCAGACATGCATATACATATATGTACATGCACACATATACATATATACCTATATACTTCCACCAATGAGCAAAAACCTATGATAACTATTTTTTTGGTCAGTCATGGGGCCTGAACTCTGAGTCTGGGCAATGTCCCCCAGTTCTTCAGCTCAAGGCTAATGTCCCTCAGCTCTTCAGCTCAAGGTTAGTGCTCTACCACTTGAGCCACAGCACCACTACTGACTTTTTCTGCTTATGTGGTGCTGAGGAATCAAACCCAGGGCCTCATGCATGCAAGGCAAGCACTCTACCACTAAGCATGTCTTACCAGTTCAATTATTTTTTATATGTCCCCAAAGAAATTCAGGCACCAGGTAGGACAGATTGGGTACAACCTGTACTACATTTCAACTGAAGTCTTTTCTTACCCAATCTGTTGTTCAACAAGAGTGCTTTCTGTTTCATTTACTTAATCTGGAAATCAAACTGCTTTTAAGACTTAGTTCTCACTGGTTGGCAATGAGTGTAATCAATTGTTTCACAGAGATAGAGTCTTCCCAGAAGTCATACTGGACTTGACTCTACCTTTCCTATGGAAGTAAGTAGCAATGTAGATGGAATGCTTAGCAGGAAACCTGTGCATTGCATTTAGAAATAAGTTGCCCAGTGGCACCAGATATACCATAATCGTCTTTTCTATTTTCTTCATTGCTTAGATAGAGTAAGTGCTCTTTCAGTTGGCTCTTCATATATGTAGGTTCTGCCAACCATAATCCTAGCTTCTCAGGAGGCTAAGATCTGAAGATTGCACTTCAAAGCCAACTGGTGCAGGAAAGTCTGAGAGTCTTTGAGACTCCTATCTGTAATTAACAACCAAAAAGCCAATTAACCACCAAAAAGCCACTGTGGCTTCACTTTTTTTTTGGGGGGGGGGGGGAGGGAAATGGTCCTAGAGCTTGAACTCAGGTCCTGAGTGCCTTTTGCTCAAGGCTAACACTTGAGCTACAGCTCCATTTCCAGCTTTTTTGGTAGCTAATTGGAGATAAGAGTCTCAGTCTGGACTTTCCTGCCCAGAGTAGCTTCAAACCATGATCCTCAGCTCTCAGCCTTCTGAGTAGGTAGGATTTTAAGTGTGAGCTTTCTACTTTTTTCTTTTCTCTCTCTCTTTTTCTTTTTTCTTTTTGTCAGTCATGAGGCTTGAATTCTGGGCCTGGGCACTGTCCTTGAGCTCTTCAGCTCAAGGCTAGCACTCTACCCCTTGAGCCACAGCGCCACTTCTGGTTTTCTGAATGGTTTATAGAGTTATGAGTTCTCACAGACTTTCCTCAGATCTCAGTCTCCTGAGTAGCTAGGCTTATAGGCATGAGCCACCGGTGCCAGGCTTCTTCTTTCTTCTTAAGCAAAAAAGCTAGGAAAGCATCCAGATCCTAAATTCAAGCCCCAAAACTGACACCTAAATAAATAAATATCTTTTAGTTCAGTGTTTAGCCTATGTAAGCTTGGAGCAGAAAGATTTTGTTCCTTTCTTTGGCTGCTCTTTTGGTAAATCATACTCTTAAATCTTTGAAAGTATATTCATGGAAATGTTCGAAAATAAACCATGTTGATTCTTCTATCTCATTCTGAGATTTCAAAAATCATTAGAGCAGAGACTAAGTTTTATTCCTGACCTCAGCATTTCCCTGTAGGACAGACACCAGGAACTGCATAATGATTGGGGACAGATTTCATCATCAAGGTTCACTAAAACTGGTTTGACTCATTTAACATCTCATTTACAAATCCCTACCATAGAAAACTCTCATACTGCTCCTTCTTACGTAACAAGCTGTTTGTCCTTTATATCAAAATGTTAACATAGTATAGCTTAAGATAGAGATTTCAATCTTAGAAATTAATTTTCATTCCTCTGTTTTAATTCCACAGATAATCTATTCTATTTTACCCCTACTATTGCAATGAATTAATTAACTGGCTAACCATCATGTAAGTAGGGAAAACATTCCAGCTTTTTACCTCTTTAAGAAAACACAGCTTGAAATGTTTAAATATCTACTTCAGAGTGACAGTAAATTTCTTCTGACATCGTATGTAATCTTTTGAATATCTGTTATATCTTCAGTGCTCAGGAGAGGTAGAAAGTAGAGAATTTTGAGGCCTAAGTCCTAAGTTCCTATCTATTCAGTTCCTATTAGTCAGTGGTTTTCTACAAATTCCCTGTAATATCGTTAGATTTTTTTTCCTTCTGCTGTCAGCATCTTAAATTGGTGCAAAGAATTACATAAATCAACACAGCAAGAACTAATCAATGTTAAAGCCATGGCCGTGCCAAAATATATGCTTTTAAGCATCTATTGTGTATTTTCTCTACAGTTGACAATGTTCGTTGTCAAATGAAAATACAAAAGCCTAAACTCCTGTAACCATGGAGACAGTGAATATTTCCCTCAGGAGGTAATATTTTGGCTTTCTAAGATGAGATCACTAGCCCTAGAATAATATATACAGCGAGGCATTAGCTAATGGGGATGATGTAATGCTAAGTATACCACTTTAGGGAGCTCAGCAGGAAGCAGAGCTCATCTCCCAAGTGAGAATTGAGTGTGTCATATGGGGAAAGTCCATGACAAATAGAGAGCAAGTGTGCACATGTGTGGTGCTAGATGACCTTATTTACCCCGAGTCAAATTTTCATTAAGATCAAGTGATAACTGAGAAGATATGTATCATTCACATGCTGATAATGAAGGAAGTAAAGTACCTTAATAGAATTTTGTTCCTGAGAAATCCTCATCAAATAGGATGATGCTATGTTAACTCCTATTCTAAAAGAATTAGTGTTTTTTTTTCTTTTAGCTACCGACTACTTTGCTAAAAGATAAGTATCTGTCTCTTGCCTAATATTGGAAATAGTCAAATGGTAATTATTTGAGTTAAGACTGAAACATTAATTGCAGGCTTAAGACTGTTAATTGCAGTGAAGAGCTGTCTCTGTTCTTACTGAGGCTCAAGCTTTTCCTTATGTAAGTTGTATTTACCCTCTCATAGATACAGTCTACAGCATCACTGTACATCTCCAATCTTGATCATCCCCAGATCTCATTGTCTCTTGCCTAGACTATTCCAAAAGGCTTCTGTATGTTTTCATACTGACTTTCTATAGTTGATTGTCTACTCAGCAGCCAAAGTGATTTTTTTAAGCATGCTGTTTGTTTTTCCACTTAATGTGTTCCAATAATAGCTGGGCGTGGTAGCACATGCCTGTAATCTGAACACTGAAGAGGCAGAGATTAGGTGATCTTGAACTAAGCTGGGGGCTACATAGGAAGTTCAAGACCAGCCTAGGACTTTCTTGAGACCCAGTGTCAAAGAAAGCAAAAACAAACCAAAAGTAGAATAGAATCAAAGATCTTCTTAGTTCCAAAGACATTATGATATCTTATCTTTCCTTTGTTATCTCCCTCCAGTCCTTGATAAACTAATCAAACTGGTCTCTCCAGAGTTTCAATACAATAAATTCTTGCTGGCCTTCCCCCAAGAAGGACAACCTCTAATTGCTGTCTCTATATTATTTAGATATCTGTCAATCACCAAAGGTGATTATTGCCTGGGCTACCCTATTTTATGTTATTTTCTCATAGCTCCTACCAGACTCTATCAATCTGTAACCACTCTTCCTCTCTAGAATGAGAGTTTCTTGAAGGTAGGAACTCTATCTTGTCTTTTGTCAAAGTACTCATAATGGTTCCTGGTATAAAATATGTGCTTTCTAAAAGCTCCATAACTGACTAAAAGATGGTGTTGCTCAGGTATGCTCACAACCTCCTGTGGTTATCTAGAAAACCTATAGGAAGGAACATGGTAGAAAAGCAAAGAGCCTTCATAGCAATACAAAACACAGGCTAAAAGAAGGTATAACTCTCCCATCTGTGGTTAAATTGAAATGGTGAGATTTCCTCTGTCTTTTTCCCCTACCAGAAACAAGACAGGAGGAGTGGGGGAGGGAAAGAAACTGAGCTTTGGGAAAGGGAGAGAGGAGTTACCTTTTCCTAAAAACCTTTCATGGAGAAGCTTAATACAGTTTTGGTTTGGGAAAATAAAGTTCTGGAGGGAATAGTCGCACAACAGTGTGACTGAATGAGCTGTGCAATTGCAAACAGAAATATTTGAAATACATTGCATTACAATTTACAAATTTTAAAAAGCAGAAGCCAAGTGCTGGTAGCTCATACCTATCTATAATCCTAGCTATAATCCATGGCTAAGTTTCTAAGGATCAAGTTCAAAGCCAGCCCAGCAGAATAATCTGTGAGACTTATCTCCAGTTAGCCAGCAAAAACAAACAAACAAAAAAAAAAACTGAAGTAGATCTATAGTATTTCTGATTTTAGGGCAGGAGTGAGGTTAAAGGTATTTTGATTGAAATATTTGACATAATAGGGTTTCTAGAGTCTAGAGAAATTCATTTAGGATTTCTGTGTGTGTGCACACATGTGCACATGCTTTTCTCTGCTTACTTTTTCCTCTATGTAACTTAGTGAGAGAGACCACCATAACAAGTACCTTTGCTTCTGGAAAGCTAGAGAATATCTAGTGGAACTCTTGAAAGAAAAGTAGTCAGGGACTAGTTCCCTCAGCCCCATAAAGGCAAAGGGCTCCTGACTGTGTCTTGTGTCTGTGACCTGTGACAGTGACTTAATCACTAGACTTTCCTGGCTAGAATTACTGGGAAGAGTAATATGAAATGCCTAGCAAACCTAATAATACAGGAAGTGGCAACTGCTTTGATTAAAAGGACTTTTTACCGTGTGAATGTAGCTGTCCTGTTGAAATGTAGGAACTTTTAGGTTTCCTAGGCCATTCTCTACATGAGAAGCTGGAACTGTAAAGTCCAGTTTAAGAATAAAGTTATATGGTGGTTTGGTACAGAATCTCTTGGGAATTTACCCATTGCAATAAAGTATTATGTGAAGTATGCCATTGTGGAAAGTTTTTAGGATTTTTTTTAACTCTGTTGAGTTGGAAGCTGAGTTCCTATGAAGACCTGATTTGTTGCATGGTAATGGAAAGAAACTGCAGTCTGTTCAGCTGGCAGAGATACTGCAGTTGGGAATTTAAAAAAAAAAAAAAAATCACCAATTAAGGAAGAATGAAGGGAGGAGGAATGAACCTACTTCCCAGGTCTGACAGGAATCAGACAATACAGGCAAATGAAGAATATTCGGAGAAATAACCACTGTGATTAATGCTGTGGTTTTATAATGGCTGACTGTCTTCACTAACTTTTGTTTTCTTTATGTTCCAGTTAAGACAAGTAGCCATGGAGAACTCTGAAAATTCAGTGGATTCAAAATCCATTAAAACATTTGAAACGTGAGTATTAAAAATGAATCCTGTGTAGTCAAAGAAAGATAAGTGTGCGTAGTACAGAAGACTTGGAGGAGTGTGGAAGTGGAAAGAAAGCAGGCCTAGCCAGGTGCTGGTGGCTCACGCCTGTAATCCTTGCTACTCAGGAGGCTGAAATCTGAAATCGAAGTTCAGATCCAGCCCAGGCAAGAAAGTCTGTAAGACTCTTATGTCCAATTTACCACCAGAAAACCAGAAATGACAGTGTGGCTCAAAGTGGTAGAACGCTAGCTTTGGGTGAAAAAGCTCAGGGACAGTGCCCAGGCCCTGAGTTCAAGGCCCACAACTGACACATATAAAAAAGAAAGAATACAAACTTTCAAGCCAGAACCCAAACTCACTTTCTACCTCAGCTCTCTGACTTTACTTAAGCTCCAGTCTCTCAACCTCCTCATGAAATGGGGAGGAAGAAAGGAAAATGCTTGACCTAATAAACCCTGTGGGTTTTATGGAGCCATAATTGGAATCTAGTCCCTAGAAACAGAAAGACTCTGGCTGGGAAGGTGGTTCAGTGGTAGAGCACTTGCCTTGCATGCATGAGGCCCTGGGTTCGATTCCTCAGCACCACATAAGCAAAAAGAAAAAAGCCGGAAGTGGCGCTGTAGCTCAAGTGGTAGAGCACTAGCCTTGAGCTGAAGAGCTGAGGGACAGCGCCAAGGCCCAGGACCAACACCCCCCCACCCCCCCAAAAAAAAAAAAAAAGAAACAGACTGATCCCTTTCCCTCCTCTCCTCCCTTCCCAGACAGAACACATCCCTCAGGGTATTTTGAACTTTCCCAAGTCACTACACAGAGAGGTTGGTTTTGTGTCTTCACCTCTTGTTTATAGGTTTTAAGACAAAAATGCAATTCTAGTTTTTCAGTCTGGGAATATGTGCCTTGTTGAAGATCATATTTTATCCTTCGTTGTTCTTTTGTTTTCTTTTTTGTGCTTAGTATTGCTTCTCATAACTGGCAGACAGTAAAAAAAAAAAAAAAAGAGCAAACTAAACCTCAAATAATCTCCATTTAATCCATGTCTGTTACTACCTGTGTGAGAACTTGTGTGACATGAAGTATCTTGAGGTGATCAGCACAAATGTAAAATCTCATACTGTACTCCACAAAGATGGACAATGGTTGTCTTTTATAATTTTATTGTCTTTTTTTAAAATCAAAGTTTATTTCTGAGACCCATTTTTATTATTCTATTCTTAGGATTTTGAACTAATGTCTCCTTGCCTCTTTCTTTTTTTCTTTCAGATGATTTGAGATAGACAGATAGTACAGGCCAGCTTTGAACTGGAGATCCTCCTGTCCCAACTTCCCTTTAATACCCTTTAAGAAAATGTTTTAGTGACCCTAATTTGTTCAGCTCATGAAGTTTGACAAATAATTTAGTGGTTTCCAATCATCTCAGGGTAATTTGAGATTTTACTCTTACCTTGAAAATGAACTATTTCATAAAGTTATAAGAAAATGTTAAATTATAAAGTATGTTTGATGAAATTTTACTAAAACCTAAAGGAAAGCCGTCAGCCTTAACCCTGAAGTGGGTCATTGTGAAATTAATTAACTGTATCCACCTATCTGTATGTGATGTGTTAGCGATGACACCCAATGTTGTGATTTAAACAAGGAAAAATCTGTAGCACAAAGTCTGGTATATAGTCTTAAGCAAAAGTTAACTGTTGTTATGAGTCATAAAAGTTTTATTCATGGAGTAATCCTTTCTCCCTTTGTAACCTGTTGTTTGATTTCCATACAGAAAGATCATCCATGGCAGCAAATCAATGGACTCTGGCATATCCTTGGATAATAGTTACAAAATGGATTATCCTGAAATGGGTGTATGTATAATAATTAATAATAAGAACTTTGATAAAAGCACAGGTATGTACCTTAACATGATTTGTCCTATGTCATTTGTATTTGATATAGAAAGCCATACTGATGTGTTTATTGTATTGGTCAGTGAAGTGAGTTATTAGTGAATTATTAGTGAAGTAAACTATCAAGTAGAAAGAAGGCAGGGCCTTCTCTATAATGCCATATGAACTGAGGAAATGTGTTCGTAGGCTTTCCCTTCGCAGGATCTCTAGTTTCGTAGGATCTCTAGTTTCGTTCATAGCTTGTCTCCATTCTGTGCTTTTACACTACTTGGGGGGGAGGGCGGAGGCAGTAGTACTGAACAGCTTGAGCCATGCTCTAGCTCACTTTTGCTTTAGTTTTTCCAGAATGGTGTTATATTTTTGCCCAGGACAGCCATTAGAACCAGATTCTCCTTCCTGTGTAGCTAAGATCACAGGCAGCACCACCACACTCAGCTTATTAAAATGGTATCCCACTAACTCCTAGGCTGGACCCTAACGCTGATGCTCCTGAGCTCCACCTCCCTAGTAGCTGGAATTACAGACATTAACTACCATGACCAGCTACAACTACTTTTTAATTGTGATCTGGTTTCCTAACCTGAGAGTAAGGAGTGCACAGGGGAGGAGTTGTTTTGAACAAACTCTACAGTTACTAATTAAGACATGGAACAGGGTGTGGGGAGAAAAGAGTTCTACTTATAAATAGAAAGACAGAAGAGAAGGGAGGAGGAGGGAGCCTTAAGGTATAGCACTTCTGACAGCCAGCCCTATCTGTGAGCCTCACTTCTGTATCTGCAACCCTTCCTTCTTCCCCTCTCCTGTTTTATACCAGTGAAAAGTTCTTGACAAGTAGTAAATAGTCTTGTTTGAATTCTTTCCAGAACCTACTGGGCATCTCCTTATTTGAATAGTAAGTCCGAAAAGTAGCTAGGGTTCTATGCTGAGAGTTTGGAAAGCTGTCAGACATTAGGGGGGTCTGGGTGTGGGTGTGGATGTAGTTCACTATCAGGTCCTGGGCTGAGGGCTGCAGGCTGGGCCTTGGTCTGCCCGTCTGTGATGCCTGTGCAAGCTCTTACTCCACCCTCTGTTCTGTTTTTCTTCCTTATATCTTCCTTTGCTTGATTGCCCTTTCCTCTGAGCCTAAGAGGAAGACAGAGACCTTGCACATTGAAGAAGCTTTTCCCTTAAGCTTTGGTCAGATATTTGTTCTTTCTTCCCTAAATTTTGAATAGGGTCTCATGCTATCTTGGGGCTTTTTTGCACAAGGCCAGTGCTCTACCACTTGAGCCGTACTTCTACTTTTAGGCCTTTTGTTGGTTAGAGATAAGAGTCCTGTGCAGGTTGCTTTTATATCTTGATCCTCATATCTCATTCTCTGGTGGTATTACTAGTGTATTCATTTCTAGACATTCACTGGAGTTTATTTCTCGGTTTTTCTGTCTCTCCCACTGAAATGGCTCTCTTTAAGTTCAGTATGGCCTAAGCACCATAAGAGAATATAGAAAAATATAGAAAATAAAACCCTTCACAATACCCAAAAGTTAATTTATTATATTGCTTGTAATTATCATGATAGTTTTATGTATAAAATCCATACAATGTAGCACTCTGCTTATTCTACTTAATATAAGCATTTTTGATGTTGCTATGTAGTTTCCTGATCTGTCATTTTAGTGGGTATATGACTGTATGTTCTAAATATATTTTTTGTCTAATTTGTATAACTTACTATAGTAATAAGCATTTGGGCAATCTTCCTATTTTTCTTCTTTAAGATGAAGCTATGATAATTCTTTGAAGAGGCTAGTAATTATATTAGAATTAATTTTTTAATTTGAAAAACTAGATCTGGGGGGAACGTCATGATACACCAGGAAATCACCAGGACTTGTAGAATAGTTGAAAGAGTCAGAATGATAGTTGGAAGCGGGTACTAAACCTCCAAAGCATTATGTTTATTGCTTTTAGCTATAACTCCTCCACAGCATTATGTTTATTGCTTTTAGCTATAACTCCTCCACAGCATTAGGTTTATTGCTTTTAGCTATAACTCCTCCACAGCATTATGTTTATTGCTTTTAGCTATAACTTGATTTTGTTTTAGCCAGTTCTGGGGCTTGGGCTCATGTATGCACACTCATTTGACTTTTTCGCCCAAGGCTGGTGCTCTATCACCCCAGCACCACATAAGCAGAAAAATCTTGGGCTGGGAAGGTGGCTCAGTGGTAGAGTGCTTGCCTTGCATGCATGAGGCCCTGGGTTCGATTCCTCAGTACCACATAAGCAGAAAGAAAAAAAAAGCCGGAAGTGGCGCTGTGGCTCAAGTGGTGGAGCGCTAGCCTTGAGCTGAAGAGCTGAGGGACAGCGCCCAGGCCCAGAGTTCAGGCCCATGAATGGACCGCCCCCCCCCCCCCCCAAAAAAAAAAAAAAAAAAAAAAAGGCAGAAAAATCCGGAAGTCATGCTGTGGCTCAAGTGGTAGAGTGCTAGCCTGAGCTGAAGAGCTGAAGGACAGCGCTCAGGCCACACCTGTAATGCTAGCTACTCAGGAGGCTGAGATCTGAAGATACTAGATCAGGGAAGTCCATGAGACTCTTATCTCCAATTAACCACCAAAAAGCCACAAACAGAGTTGTGGTTCAAGTGGCAGGGCGCTAGCTCAAGGACAGCACCCAGGCCCTGAATTCAAGCTACAGGATCAACACACACACACACAAGCCATGCCTCCACTTCCTAGCTGTAACTTGAAATACCAACTTTAACTATGAAATAACAGACAAAATGCTTCATTTCTTTTTGTTTTATGATTTTTTTTAAGATTTTACCTACATTCTACCTCCTATTGCCAATAATAATATCTTCTTCCTGTACAATTTTCTTTGCCTTTTCTTTTTTCTTTTCTTTCTAAAGCTTGTCATTATATTTCTTCCAAAAAATATTGGCTGAATGGCCTGACTTTTGTCTTAAAGTGAGCTCTTTTATCAGCTTGAAACTTAAAGGCTTTCTAGTATATAAAGTGGCTTAACAAACCAGCCTCAGAACTCAGCCATCTTTCACACAGTACCACATCAGCCTCAGCCATTCTTCTATAAGCACCTCCAGGAGTATATTTTAACTTCAGATGCACATAACAGAAATTTTAAAAATTAAAGATTAGCAGAGAGCAAAAAAAAAAAGCACTGACACATTCCTCAGAAACAAGATTTTTTGCTGTTGTATATTTCTATTGGATGAATATGGAAGTCTGAAAGAGAAAGGGAAAAGTACTCACTTTCTCGTTTGTTTTCATTGCTTTGTAGACAGTCTTGCTATGTAAGTCATGATGTTCTGGAACTCTTCTTAGTCTGATGTCTCAGCCTCCAGAGTGCTGGGATTACAAATATATACCAAACCCAGCTTCCATATGTTTTAAAGATAGATACTTTAATATTCATACAGATTTTCAGGCGTGTTTCAGGCATGTTTCCCTCGGAATGTCAGCATTTCTTAATCTGAGTACATCATGTAATATATCTGTCCATTATGTGTGGGGCATTAGAAAAGAACGATGAAAAGCCGTAGACCTGGGTGTATAGACCTAACACCAACTTTCCCCTTGAACAAATTTCTTTTTTGAATTTCAAACTGTTTTGAAACAATGACCATTGTTCCATGGCAAATTTTTGCCTTAAAAAATAGCAACCTAGGTGGGCATCAGTGACTTATGCCTGTAGTCCTAGCTACTCAGGAGGCCGAGATATGAGGATCACAGTTCAAAGCCAGCCCAAGCAAGAAAGTCCATGAGACTCTTACCTCCAATTAACTCCCAGAAAACCTGAGTGGAGCTGTGTCTCAAAGTAGTAGAGCACTAGCCTTGAATGCAAAAGCTCAGAGACAGAGTCAAGGCCTTGAGTTCAAGCCCACCTAGCACCAGCACACACACCAAAAAATGGCAACCTAGTATTCTATTATGTAAATAAGTCTTAATTTATTAACAAGCCCCTATGTGGGAGGATATTTAAGTTGGTTCTGGTTTTTTTCCCATTCAAGCTGCTGTGAAAGCTATCCTTGAAGCACTGGCACTGAGACAGCTTTTACAATGAAATGTCTTACATGCTAAAAAAAAGAAAACTAAAGACACTTTGTATCACCATGATTAATTAGAATTTTCTTAGCATTTAAAATGAAGAATTTGTTGATTGTGTGAATTGCTAGGTCATTCATTTCATTTCAAAGTGATTCTCTTCTTTTCAAATGAATTAAAAGTTATTCTTTCTGTTCCAGGAATGTCACCTCGGTCTGGTACAGATGTAGACGCAGCAAACCTCAGAGAAACATTCCTGAACTTAAAATATGAAGTCAGGAATAAAAATGACCTTACACATGAAGAAATTGTAGAATTACTGTACAATGGTAAGAAATAAGAATTTTAATTCATGCCAACTCCCTAAAATTGTTTCAGGTATGTGACTATGCCCAAGTTGGGTTCTCCTTGTAGTGTCTTTATCCTACCACATTTGGAGTTAATGCCTATAATCATAGCACTCATAGAGCTGAGCAGAAGAATTAAGAGATGGAGACCCAGCCTATATTACTTAGTAAGACCCTGTCTCAAAAAATCAAGAAACAAAACAAAACATCGAAAATTCATCATCTTGTTCTCATAGTTTATCTGAGATTGTTGAAAAAAGTTGGAAATATTTTTTTCTCACTTATGTCTTTCCAGTTTCTAAAGAAGATCATAGCAAAAGGAGCAGCTTTATTTGTGTAATTCTGAGCCATGGTGAGGAAGGAATAATTTTTGGAACAAATGGACCTGTTGAACTGAAAAAATTAACAAGTTTCTTCCGAGGAGATTATTGCAGAACTCTAGCTGGGAAACCTAAGCTTTTCATCTTTCAGGTTGGTTACAACTGAACATCTTGGTGGAGTATTAATCTCGATTCACTTCCTCAATTGTAGATTATCCAGTAGATGAACTTTTTTGTCTTGAGGCTACTTTTGTATTTACTTAAAACACTGCTTAGGAAGAATGAAGTGTATTTCAATTTTGGACTTTTATCTTCTATTTTTTTCACTGTCCTTACATTTCTCAGATACACATTTATTTGTATATACATCTTTTAAAAAATACAAATTGGGGGCTGGGAAGGTGGCTCAGTATAGAGCGCTTGCCTTGCATGCCTGAGGCCCTGGGTTCGATTCCTCAGCACCACATAAGCAAAAAGAAAAAAGCCAGAAGTGGCGTTGTGGCTCAAGTGATAGAGCGCTAGCCTTGAGCTGAAGAGCTGAGGGACAGTGCTCAGGCCCAGAGTTCAGGCTCCACGACCGGAACCAAAAAAAAAAAAAATACAAATTGACTTTCTAACCTGCAGGCCTGCCGGGGCACAGAACTAGACTGTGGCATTGAGACAGATAGTGGTTCTGATGATGACATGCCATGCCAGAAAATACCCGTAGAGGCTGACTTCCTGTATGCATATTCCACAGCACCTGGTAAGAAAGTTACCAAAAGTAAATGTGATGTAGGGATGTGTGTGTGTGTGTGTGTGTGTGTGTGTGTGTGTGTGTGTGTGTGTGTGTGTGTGTGTGTGACATAACTATAGAGGTTAATAATAGTGTGACTATCACTGGATAGCCAGAGTCTATCAAGATTTTCATATCCCTAAAAATTAGCTAATCTGTCTATATTTTATAGTACCTTAACCACAGAGATCAGAAAACTAACCCAAGCCACTCATAGACTTAATACTACATAGTACACTATACTATAACTGAATCTTAAGTCAGAGGTCACCCCCTGTAATATTAGAGTAGAAGATCCCTTTGTGTTTGCAAGTTATTCATGGTTCACTGCAGTCTGGAAATATTAAATGGAATGTTCTGGAAATAAGCAATAGAAGTTTTAAGTTGGATGATACTCTGAATAATGTAATTGCTCATTCCCTCCTGGGTCATGAGTCATCCCTTTGTCCAGAAATGAGATGAAAGGTCTTGCCTTCATAAGTAAAGAAACCTATGTAGTAAAATCCATCTTCTTGAGCCCCTAAAAGCCTCTGAAAAAGAATTTTCATCCAGGTTTTGTTGTCAGATATCAAACTGCAGAAGCTCTTGCCACTCTGCCTAAGGGAAGCTAAGATGGAAAAATCATTAACGTGTGTGTGTGTGTGTGTGTGTGTGTGTGTGTGTGTGTGTGTGTGTGTGTGTGTGTGTGTGTGTGTACACATAGGGAACCACACAATGTATATAGGATTCAGGCCTCCTCTAGGCACCTTAGAACATGTCCTAGTGGACAAGGGAGATTGCTGGATTGTGAGCTAGGAGATAAGCATGATTAATCTAGGACAAGTAGAAGTGCACTGGTGGCTCAGGACTATAATCCTATCAATTCAGCCAGCCAGCTCCTGAGAGTAAATCCAAGAAACTCCTCCCATTAACCAGCAAAAATCCAAAAGTGAAGCTGTGGCTCAAGCTGTAGAGTGCTAGCCTTGACCAGAAAAGGCCAAGCAAGCTGGACAGTGGTGGCTCACACCTGTAATCCTCGCTACTTAGGAGACTGAGATCTGAGGATCACAGTTCAAAAAGCCAACCCAGGCAGGAAAGTCTGTGAGACTCTCATTTCCAATTAACCATTTAAAAAAAAACAGAAATGGAGCTGTGGCTCAGGTGGTGGAGTGCCAGCCTTGAGCAAAAAAGCTCAAGGACAGCAACAGCACCCAGGCTCCGAGTTCAAGCCCCAATACCTATACCCAAAAAAAAGAAAAGAAAAGAGAGAGAGAGAGAGAGAGAAGAGAATACTTGGATATGCTGCTTACCTCCACATTTTTGTGGTACTACATGTCATCATATAAATAAATATATTTGGGGCTGGGAAGGTGGCTCAGTGGTAGAGCGCTTGCCTTGCATGCCTGAGGCCCTGGGTTCAATTCCCCAGCACTACATAAGCAAAAAGAAAAAAGCCGGAAGTGGTGCTGTGGCTCAAGTGGTAGAGCACTAGCCTTGAGCTGAAGAGCTGAGGGACAGCGCCCAGGCCCAGAGTTCAGGCCCCACGACCAGACTCCCCTCCCCCCCCAAAAAAAAATAAATAAATGTATTTTTCTCCAAAAATTTCTTTATTGAGATTGATACATAAATTTCACAGTACTCTGGCATAGTTATACTTAGCTAATGTCAGAAATACATTTTAACCTTCACAATGATAATCATCATTATCTTAATCTACAAAGCTTATGACCTCTATGAACTTTCGCAATAAAACTATTTCTTAGAAATTGGGTGATATGTACATTTCTCTCCTTTTGCTTAATATCACCTGTTCCCTCTTTCTTTCTCGTTCCCTCCCTCCCATCACCACTCTTGAGTTGCTTAGTTCACTTTCATCAATGTCCAGTGCAGCTGATGGGCCCCGCTTCTGTATTTTTTCACCCGCTTTCCACTGATTCTGTGCCTTCCTCCCGGCTTCCCTCAGATGTGCATGCGTATAAATATATTAATCATACAACTATTGATGACTAACTCAGTGTATCAGAGTTGGGAAATATAAGGTAAAAGTATTTTTTTAATATTTTAGCATATGCTTGATAGGATATCTTTTATCCTCTGGGCATCTTTCTATTCACTGTACTTCTGTTTTAAATGCAATGAGTCTAATAGTTGATGTGCAAATAAGTACAGTAAATGCACTGCCATCACCTTTCTGATTTTTTTTTTGGGGGGGGGAATGCGTACAGTCGTGGGGCCTGAACTCTGGGCCTGGGCACTGTCCCTCAGCTCTTCAGCTCAAGGCTAGCGCTCTACCACTTTAGCCACAGCGCCACTTCTGGCTTTTTTCTTTTTACTTATGTGGTGCTGAGGAATCGAACCCTGGGCCTCATATATGTAAGGCAAGTGCTCTACCACTGAGCCACCTTCCCAGTCCCACCTTTCAGAATTTTTAATGCTTTGTGTTTATAATACTTGAATCAGATGTAATATAGAGAAATGAATTGGCATTCATTTCTCAGTCTGAAGTGTATGCACGTACATATACACTTTATGTCTTAGCTAGGCCAGTGCTAAAACAATAAAATCTAATTGAAAACACCAAACCACCTATAATGATATTTTTATATGTCTCCACTTTTCATTATATTATCTGCATGTTTACCTGTTCATCCCTATGGGAGGGGAGAGCAGAAATAAAACTCTGATCCAATGGTAGTTCATCTGTGATTTCTGTTTCCAGTGAAAAGGAGATATCTGTGGTATTTTGGTTCTATTTTGCTTTGTAGGTTACTATTCCTGGCGAAATTCAAAGGATGGATCCTGGTTCATCCAGTCCCTTTGTGCCATGCTGAAATGCTACGCGAGCAAGCTTGAACTGATGCACATTCTTACGCGGGTTAACTGGAAGGTAGCAAGAGAATATGAGTCCTTTTCCTTGGATTCCATGTTTCATGCAAAGAAACAGATTCCATGCATTGTATCTATGCTCACAAAAGACCTGTATTTCCATCACTGAAGAGATGCTGATTCTCTTTTTTTTCTTTTTTAGTTTCTATGCCAAATGAGAAGACAGTAGATAATACTTTACTTTCCTCCCATTTAAATCTCATGTGATACTCTAGATGATACTTGTACCATACCCACTTCGCAGAACCACAATCACACTACCTCAAACTCAATCACAGGTAGTTGAAACTGAATGTGAATAGGAACAAATAAACACAGAGCATGGTACCATTATTATGAAAGGCAACGATTAAACTTCTGTCTTTGATAATTAGCAAGATTTGAGGGTCCTGTGCTATGAATTATCAAGTAATTATAAGGAAGTTAAGACTTCCATGAATTTCATGATCCTCTCTCCCTACATTACAACTGGGCAATCCTAGCTTTTGTCGTACTATAGATATGGAGATGTGGAGTCATGAGCACTCCGGGATCCAAGAACTTGGTCAAACTCTTGAACTTTCCTTTTCAAACTGATTTATGAAAATGAATTGAATGGACTGCATTTTTAGATCGTGTTACCATAACTCATGGTTTTGTAATGTTTTTCCTGAGCATGTTGTTGTGGGAAAAAAATGTTTACTATTGAAAAAGAAGCTAAATATTTATTTGAGAGAAAGTACAAGTAAACCAAGTTGATTCTTTTAAGGCTAATGTGTAACATTCAGAGAGAAACCTAACTATAAGGTGCTAAGATGATCTACCAGCATGTTTATTCTCGCTGTCTTTATACAAATCAGGTGAGATGTACAGACCAGCCAAGTTTTTTTAAAAAAACAAAAAACCTCAAACTTGATAAGAAATTCTTCATGAACATACTAATATTCCATGTGTACAATAAATAGTGGAGCATAAGGAAAACAACGGTCAATGGACTGAGCGCTGTAATTTGAGGAGTCTGACTAAAACATGGCTCAGCCTATTGAATGGACACAGAGCTCCAGCCAGGCTCTGGAGAAGGACCACCAGCTGCCGTCTTCAGACATACATACAGTAGGGCCTGGAGGACGTCCCAAGGTATAAATCACCCTGTAATAAAGTAACCAAATTTCTGAAAGGGAGCTCATCCAGAGGTGGTGGGAATCACAATGAAAACAATAATACTTGTAGTCATATTGGTCAGCCTGTGATTTTTTCTGTTTAAGTTTACAATCAAAAGGAACAGCATGCTACTGTTTATACTGTAACCTGGGTGGAAAGGATGGAAGGCACCCTGACTCCGGAAGCTTCCCTCCAGAGTCCTGCAGAGTGCATGAGGAAGCTACAGGTCTGAACTCAGCGCCCCCAGGAAGCTGGGATCCAGGCTTCCTCCCTCCCTGAGGGGCTGAGCCCTTCCTTACTGGCTCTGACATTTCACAGGAGTTTCTTCCTCAAAGACACAACTCATATTTGTAATCCATTACTGTTTTGTTTTGATTAGATCTGTTAACTTTTTCTAAGTAACTATAGCATGTAATGGCATTTTAAAGTGTGTGTCTGTGTGACGATTTTTATTAAATTGTTATTTTGCATTTTTTAAATTTCAAAACATAAATTTAAACTTAGAATCACTGGTGGGTTCGAGTTTTTTGTGTTGATGTTTTGAGTTTGTGCTATTAAGTAGAAGTTAAAATCTTGATAACCAAGAATTGACTTTGGAAGAGTCCAAGAGGGTACATCAAGGCCCTGACCTGGTATTTTGTTTGAGATGTTGGTAAATAATCAGCCTTTTTCGGTGTTCAAGCTCCTTGCAGAAAGATGCAAAAATAAGTAGGTTCAGTCCTTAAATATGACCATCTTTTGAATTTTCTACAACCCAAATTTTTAATAGGAACAGTAAGGAATAAAAACAAGCAAAAGTACAGGCTGTGAGCTGTGGGTAGCTACTGGTTGGACAGGGAAATGCTCCCTTTCACTCTGTACCTTAAAAACAAGTATAGAGCCGGGCGCCGGTGGCTCACGCCTGTAATCCTAGCTACTCAGGAGGCTGAGATGTGAGGATCGCGGTTCAAAGCCAGCCCAAGCAGGAGAGACCGTGAGACTCCTATCTCCAATAAACCACCAGAAAACCGGAAGTGGCGCTGTAGCTCAAGTGGTAGAGCGCTCGCCTTGAGCTGAAGAGCTGAGGGACAGCGCCCAGGCCCAGAGTTCAAGCCCCACGACCGACAAAAAAAAAAACAAGTATAGAAACATGGGACTGAGGTGGTTAATTTCTTCTATTTCTATAATGAATGTATGCCTTTCAGATCCGAAACAAGATTGAGAGGATCTTCTGTTTTCCAGTAGCAGAGTAGCTTGAATGACTTCATTCAGCCTCTTTATAACCCTATGATTCTGACGTGTTACAGAAAATCTAGCACGTTCCAATCTTCCTGCTACATAAAGAGGGCTCAGTTATTTAAAAAAAAAACTAGCAACTCAATTTTTAAAAATTGGATAAAGGGCATTAACCTACAGAAAAAAAAAAAAAAAAAAGAAACACCAGACAATTCCTTAACCCAGATAGCAAAGTTAATCTCCATCACAATAAAGAAATGCAGACAAAACAATGTGCCATCTGTCTGGCAAACCTCCAGAGGGTGTTAACACCTGTTGTCAAGACTAGAGAGAGGTACAATCTTCCCTAGATGGAAGCATGAAGTGGTTTGATTCTATGTGGTAAAAACCTAGCCACACCTATCAGATTCTTTACTCTGAAATAGCAGTCTCATTCTTGGATCTGCCTGCTGGTATACTTGCACATGTGCAAAATTCTATACAAGATTGTTCTTGAAGCTGGGTGAGGTGGTAACTTACACCCCTGTAATTCCAGCACTTGAAAGAAAGACTGATGCAGGAAAGTTGCAAGTTCAGGACTAGCCTGAGTTTAAACTTAACGCTACGCAAGAGCCTGCCTCAAAGAAACAAATAAGCAAAAACAAAAAAAAATCAACCCAGCTCTAAGGAAGATAAAACACTCTGGATCCATACAGCGTCAGGGGAACAGCAGGAAATACCTACTATAGTAAGCGCTTTAGTTTGGTTTGGTTTTTTGGAGTAGGAGAGAATTGAGTCTGTCCGTCAAGGATCCAGTTGAGAGGAAGACTGAAAATAGTAGGGAGAAAAGAAAGTAATACTTTAATATTCCTGAGACCTAAGAAGGGTAAGTCAACATAATTGGGAGTACTGAGGGGAGAAGAGAATCTATGTGGAAAAGATGTGCAGGTCAAGGGGTGGGGGGAGGAGGAGTCTAGAACTCACAAACCTTCTCTGGGTGCCCCAGCATGCCAACACTGATATGTTCACCAACCTGTAAGTTCTGAATCTCATTGCTTAAGAATTTGTGTAGAAAATCTCCGGCATCCTTGTCTTTCCCTGAGGCTTTGGGGTTGGGTGACAAGTTATGATCTTCTAATCATTTGGTCATTCAGGTGGTGGCCAATCCTAACTTGAGATTATCTAGGGCGACCACGTCCACCTTATTAGCATAAACTCAGACGTGTTCTAAAGGAGTTGGCTATGGAGAGCAAGTCACTCTTAAGACAGGACATCTGAAGATTTCAGGAGCTCTGTAGCTAGGAACTGAGACGTGTGTGTGTGTGTGTGTGTGTGTGTGTGTGTGTGTGTGTGTGTGTGTGTGTTATCAAAGTCTTATAACTAAGAAGCATCTCTCTACCTTGGGCTGTGTAGAAAGTGATTTTTCTCCCATTAGTGGCCAGAGCAAAAGTAGCTTAGTTAGTGGAAGTGGAGGATGGAGGATGAAGAGCCCTGTGGGATGGTAGAAATACTCAAGATTTAGAGATGATCAAGACTTGAAAGATGGTAGTAGCAAGGATGCCAAGAAGAAGATAAAACCCTGATATTCTGTAAAATAACTGTCTCCTATCATCTAACAATCTTCAACGGAGTTTATTACATATTCATATCCTGAGTCCATTTACAGCATTTAATTTCTTGACCTTCCAGTTCTCTTTAAGACTTTTTGCCCATTTTAAAAGCTTACAAGAATAACTATGCTTCTGTGCAAAATCTAAAAATACATTGTTGGTTCTGATTTTTAACCAGCATGTGTGTCATATAGAAATAGTTGTTCCCTGCTTTCAGCTAGTCTATTCTCAACATTTGCCTCCAGGGCGATGGTTGCTGGTGCAAATTCAAATGGAAGGGACTGAGAATAAGATTTGCAAATGGTTTCTGTTGGACCACTTCTATTTATAAATCTGTGAGCATAAACTGCCCACATGCTGTCATGTGTGGTAGAGGTAGTCCGTGCATCAAATCTTCCCCTGCACAACTTTACCCTGCCTCGTCCACCCAGGATTCTCATCCCCTAATGTGAGCTTGAGACCCTGGAATGAGAAAAAAAAACCGATTTGCATGTGTCTGGTATGCACACATGACCTGTAGTCTTACCAATCTGGTACCAAGGGACAGGATGATCAAAAAAAATATCACTCGCAGTTTACATGCTTTGAGTCAGTTGATGGACAGAACTGAGGATGCACAGAACTGAAGATCGGGGAGAAGCATTACTTCTCTGATTTTATCTAGAGGTGACCAGATGTTCTGGGTTCTTACTTGAAGGAAAAAGTAATTCACAGTTAGTATTGTAATCATTGAAGTTTTCACTAGCATTTAGAACGCTGGACAAAGGGAAAAACTGTAATCTTACAAAAGAGTGACCAGTGGCAGGGCCTGTGTTAATATATTTACATCCTTAAGGTTATTCCTACTAAAATGTTTAAGTAGTTTACTGTAGGCTTTCCTTATATATTTCCTTAAAAAAATAAAAACAAATCTCCAAGATAGGTGGATTAATAAAAAAAAGGGAACTGAGGATAAATATAGCCATAATGTTCAATGTCTATTTGTTATGAAGGCAGTGGAAAATGTGAAATCAGTCTAGGGGGAGGAACAGAAGGGATGGGAGGGGAATGATGGGAAGGCTGACTGATCAAGAAACACTTGATACTAGATGATCCATGAAATTATAATCCCCTTGTACAACCTTTAGAAGGCTATAGGGGGGAAAAGGCTTACCAGCCGAGCACCAGTGGCTCACACCTGTAATCCTAGCTACTCAGGAGACTCAGATCTGGGGATCATGGTTCAAAGCCAGACCAGGCAGAAAAATCCCCAGGAGATTCTTATCTCCAACTAACCACCAAAACCGGCAGCGGTGCTGTGGGTCAAGTGGTAGAGCGCTACCTTGAGCACAAAGAGGTTCAGGGACTGAGTTCAAGCCTCACAACTGACAGAAAAAAAGAAATTAAAACTGAAAAAAAACCCAAGTCATTGGTAGAGTCTTGTGAACATTTATCTGTGAGCCATCCCTCTGTCTCTCTCCCCCTCTCCTCTTCCTTTGTGTTGAAACCCTGAGGTAAATTCCATTTCAAGTCACTCATGAATAACAACCATGCAGCTTCCTTGGAAAGAGGCATCATTTCAAATCACAAAGTAAATTCCAGGAAGTTCCAAGTTGATGTGCACTATAGTTACTGTTTGTCGGGAAGCTGTTTTTCAGCATGTCAAACTTCCAGGTAAACTATGACTAAGACTTTGCGGGAGGGGAGGTGGGGGGGAGGGCACAACACAGCTGCAGTGTGTTTCAACTGAAATGACTCAGCTTCCCTCCCTTTCAGCACTTTAGGTAGCACCAGCTCTGGAGCCCCCTGGCTGGCCACCACTTAGTTGGAACTGGCCACAATCATATTTGGGGGGGAAATTATAGCAATTCATTAGTTGCAGTCTTATAGCTATTAAAAGGGACACTCTGGTTCCTGGGCAGGGGAGGCTGGCTTTATTTTTCCCCAGGACCAGGTCCCAAACTCACTCTCTCACACTTTATATTAATTGGCAGATGGAGGAGGAGGAGGGGGAGGGGGAGGGGAAGGGGGAGAGAGAGGGGAGGGGGAGGAGTTTATTAAAGAAAGCAGGAGGAAGGGGAAAAAAAGGGAAACTGATCATTTTATTTAATTTCCCTAGGGGATAAAGCACAATGGTAAACTGTCCCCTTTCTGATAGGCTGCTGTGACACTTGATTTAAAAAAAAAAAAAAAACTGGCTCAATTCAAAACTCAATTTGAGAGCCAGGCACCGGTGGCTCATGCCTGTAATCCTAGCTACTCAGGAGGCTGAGATCTGAGGATCACAGTTCAAAGCCAGCCCAGGCAGGAAAGTCCAGGAGACTCTTATCTCCTATAAACCACCAGAAAAACAGAAGTGGTACTGTGGCTCAAGAGGTACAACACTCACTTTTAGCTGAATTGCTCAGGGACAGCACCCAGGCCCAGGGTTCAAGCCCCACAAAAACAAACACAAAAATACAAAAACCCAATTTGAGTATGTGGCACTTAGCATGAGTGACTCCATTCTGGTTTGGTTTAGTTAATGTAAGGGCCTAGAGCAGGAAACTCAGTCCAAAGGAGATCTCCCTGTAAAGCTGATTTATCAATATCTTCTTCCAGTGGAAATGGTGTGAGAATCTTTAAATAAAATAATTGCAGAAATAGTGTCTGATAAATTAGAGTACTATAGAACCGTGGTAAAATTTTCTAGAGATCCATCAAGTTGTGCCATCACTGAAAACATCAATAAGCTTGAGAACCCTAGTTCAAACCCTAGTATCAAAAAAGGACATAGAAAACACGTATATGTGTGTGTTCGTGTGTGTGTGTGTGTGTGTGTGTGTGTGTGTGTGTGTGTGTGTGTGTGTGTGCCAGTCCTGGGGCTAAAACTCAGGACCTAGGCTAGCACTCTACCACTTGAGCCACAGCTTCACTTCTGGCTTTTTATTTTGGTGGTTAATTGGAGATAAGTATCTTAGGGACTTTCCTACTCAGGCTGGCCTCAAACCACAATTCTCAGATCTTAGCTTCCTGAGTAGCTAG